CTGCAACAAAAATTTTAAAAAATATAAATACAAAAAAACATACTGTGTACACATTTAGTACCATATGCTATTGTACTTATTGTGTATGCAGTACAAAATATAAACACACAAAACATATACAGTAATAAAATCTGAATTACAGTATCTATAGTCATATGTTAGAATACTTTGAACATTGTATGCTCACATACAAAGCTTATACATATTGTGCATTTGTATTTATTTTATTTTACTTTCTTTGTCCAAGAACGCAGATTTTAAGTTTGATTTAACTTGAGAAAAAATTCTGTGAGCTTGACTTTAACACACAGAGTAATCAGTAAGGAGCCGTGAAATGTTTGTTTTGGCACACTGCATTTACATTGGAAGCGTAACTGTGGGGTTAACTGACTGAGGTTTAAAGGTGTTTGAGGTTATTCATATCCATACTGGGGGAACAGTGTAACCCTTTTTTATACACAGTCCTTTAAGATCCTATACTTACAAATAACCAAACGTTCATTGCTGAAGACCCGACTAAATGCACAAAGCCTCTGAATCAAGATAGCAGTGAAGATAGCAGCAATACATACCTGACAGGGCATTGCATGGGAAGATAAGTGTCTGCTGATGGATGTGGGTCAGAGATTTCAGCCAGTCACTGGCAAACTGGCAAAATATTTTAATATAAATTGAATTAATCCTATGCAGGGAGTTTAAAATGACAAGAAATAGTGCCTAGTATAGATGAGTAACTTTTAACCTAAAATAACAAGAACACTATATACCCTTCTACCACACAAAATGAATAAAAAGTACTACATACTATAAACAGTTTATGCCTCTGTGTAATACAGCTCCATTGTTGTCCAAAAACTGTTAAAACACATCAGTGAGCCACACTGTTGCACTGCCTGACGTGTTACTTAATAAGAAGACAAACTGTCAAATCTAATCAATGTAATGTCCTTTCTCTCCATGGCAGGTTTATGAAGTTCAACAATCGAATCCTGCGGAAGATCCTGATCCGGGACAACCGGGCCGAGTCCAGTATTGTGGCGCTGTATAAGAAGCTAGAACTACAGAATGCCATGGAGATCCTAGACACAGTGTCTGGAGACATCAGTGCTGCTCCCTCAATTGTCTCGCTCTAGTATGAAACCTTCATCGTGTCTCAGACTGTTACACCAACTCCTTATTGTCTGCTCAGATCAAAGGCGTGGAGAAAATAATTAGTTTTCTCTTAATATCTGTTTCTATCTGTCTTTTAGTGAGGAAAAGAAAAACTCTGCAAAACCTAAGAAGAAGCTTCTGGCTTCTGATCTGAAGCAAATGCATGACATCTTGTCCAAGAACATGTACAAGATCAGGCAACGGGTAAGATATTAAATAATCTGACAGGACAACAGCATTCTACTTTTTTACTTTTCTTTCTTTTTTCATCATGCATTACAGTGATGGAAAGTAAATTTCAACATAACACCATATTTTAATACAGTTCTTAGGTACTAAAATAGTTTATTAGTTTATAATCCGACAGTTGTAGTAACTAGTTACTTTTCAGATTATTATTACATAAAAAACATGATAATCCTATGAAATACAATGCACTGTTCAAGATTAAACCAGTGGTTTCCTTGACTAGTACATGGTCATGTTTCAGATGTCTATGAGTTGTTATGAGTTCCACCAAAGAGAGATTTCCCTTCTAAACTTCCCACATGGTTTCTTTGTTCAACTGTTTAGTCTTAAAGAGGTAAAAGTATCCAATATTTCACAAAAATAGCAACAATTACAGAAAAGTCTAAAAAATTAATACAAATTTGTGCAGGAAAACTGTGATTTCCCCTTTTGTTTTGTTTTTTACATGAAAAGGCAGAGAGCACAGCATCAAATTATTTTACCTAAACGTCCGTGATCTTTGTTTGTTAGACACATTTGTCTGTAATCAGTAAGGGTGAACCTAAGTCACAGATGTAGTAGACTGGAAACATAGATTTTCTGTGACGCCTTACTCACACACAATGACATGATTACTCCAAGCACTAAACACAGTGCTGTTTTGCATAGCCACAGACTGTGGCCAGCAGTACTTTTCCATTAGTGGCATGACATAACCCTCTACACAGAGACGCTTTGATGTGTCGACAAATAGGGAGCATATGCTTCTATTTTTGGGTAGACAAATTGTCTGATTGTCTTAATAGCGTGTCTGTTAAAGTTTCTCACCCCTCATATATTTACAGTTCTGTCTCTCTCACAAACCCTGTGTCTCCTTTTGTCTGTGGTGTTATTTGTTTTGACATGAGCAGGCTGGTCTCTTGTGCCCTTCTTAAACTCGTATCACGTTAACAGTTGTTGCATTTAACAGTGTGCCGTGTCTGACCATGTTGACCTTTTGAAAAATTTGATAAAGAACCATGGCAACCTTTAGAATGTGTGAAAAGCGGTTATGTTTTTTTTTAGGTCTAACTAAAAGCTGACAGAAAGAACCATGTTGATAGTGATGTATACGCCACATGGAAAAGGTCAGTGTGGAAACTCCAAAGAGAAACCCAGACACTTGTGGCTCAAACAGGCATGGCCAGTTTTGGCTGAGTAATCTGAGCTTTAAGGAATGCTGCCTCCTCTCAGATCATCTTAACAGCTTCAGCCTTTGTTGTCTGCACAGTCAGTGAACGTTATTGACCTAATGGTTCTAGTGTTGAGGCCACCTGTAGGCTGTAGGACACGTCCACAAAGGTGGAATCTGTCAGCTAGAAGTGTCCTCTAGTGGTCTGCCGTGTGATGTGGTGTGTTTAATCTTGCACTTTTTTTTGTTTTCTTTAATCAGACGGTGGCATACACAAATAAGCATGCCCTGCCCAACGACAGCCACACCAAAGAGATATTAATAAGGCGCCACACAACCATCCGCCGCAGCCTCCGACCTGGAAGTTTTCAGTCATCGGTAAGCAGGAACACTCTGTAACTATGGCTGGTATTGACCTGAGGTATTGCATGAATGTTGTTACACAAAGTATGTTCTTTAGCCTTGGTAAGTGAGAGCTGATCCCTGTGAGAAGTAGGTTAATTATCTCTTGGCTACACTGAAATGAAAGCATCCCAAATTAAAACATGAGGTTCACTTTCTTAATCCCACCCTTGTTCACCATTCTCGTTTTCTCTCTTCTTCCTCCACGTATCATTCTGTTGTTTTATTCCCATGTTATTCTCAGGTGGTGCCAAAATCTCAGAAATACTTCTCTCTTCCTGCTGGTAAAAGTCTGGACTCAAAATGTCCTCCTGGGAGGCTGAGCTATGCAGGTTAGCTTCTCAAACTAATTTCTAACACCCAGTTTTCCCCTTTTATTTTCCTTTTAAGTAGATCTAAGGTCGGAAAAAATTTAACATAATGGAACTTAGGTGTTAATTTGTGTATCAGTTTATTCCATCTCTTTATTGAAGCTATAGTATGATGTTTACACTGAGTAAAATATTCAAACCCAAGGCAGGCACTGTGGCTCTTGGGATGAGAAGTCGATCAGTCAGTCGATCCACCACTTTGGTCCGGACTGAAATATCTCAATAACTACTGGATGGATTGCCATGAAATTCTGTACAAACATGAATGGTCCTCATAGGATGAAGCCTACTGACTTTGGTGTACCTTTAGTGCCACCATGAGGTTGATGTTTGTGTTGAAGATTGAAATGTCTAAACTATTAGATTGATTGTTATGAAATTTAGGACAGCCATTCATGTCCCCCCTGAAATATATTTTAATAACTTTTGTGGTCACCTGACTTCCCATCTAGTGTCACGTCATGGCAGCATTTCTATTTGTTCAATATTTTGGTTTATGAACAAATAAAAGCTAAAATATTGACATTCCCATCAAAGCCGCGCCTAACTACAGCCTCACAGATGTCAGCACCAAATATTCCTGCTGTCCTGTGTTTAATTTTACACACAGTTCCCAAAATATTCAGTCTGACACGTTTAGTGTCTTTGGGAACTTTTGGATCTCCACCAGAATTTCAAATACAATTATGTAGGTTTGAACAATGTTTGGCAGCATGACACAAGTTTAAAACTCATTAATTACCTTATTCATCAAGGATCTTTCTGTTATTTACATGTTGTATAAATATATAATCGGGTGGGATGGATGTTTCAATTAAATAATTTCTTTACAATTTTACCAATTTTTTCACCCATCCCAGATTATAAGGACATGGGACCCTCCAGACGCTCTTGGTTTGGCCAGCCCACACGGTCCTCCTCCAGAGCCATGATACCTCTACGCAGGTTGGACTCCCTTCAAGAGGCGCCCTCTGTTGACATGCTGGATGAAAATACAGGGGAGGAGAGAGGCAGCACAAGCCGTGGCATGTCCAGAATAAACTCTACTTCCAGTGATTTCCGCATACCTGCTCCTCGCCGCCACTTCTATGTTGACAATGACAGCGGTTCAGCTGATAACTTTATAAATGGGCATCATGAAGAAGCAGCAGTGGAGGAGCAGCAGCAGCAGCCTGTGTCTCCATCTCCAACCTGGTCTGCTGAACCCAGAGACAACGCAACACGAAACCCTCTGCTCAGGCGGCCTCAGTGGAACCCGAAGATGTAAAAGTGTCCCTGAGATTTCAAGAGCAGCTGGACTGCTACAGACTGAGTTTCAGGTTCCCAAGCAGCTCTAGGGTCTCTACATATTATATATTCATATAACAAAAAGGTCAAGTAAATGAACACTGGAGGTCCACTGATTTTTTTTTATAGGATTCACATCAATGTGCCTTTAAATACTTTATCTTCCTGTAGGATTTCAAAAAGTGTTTAAAGAAAATGTGAATTAAACTGTTTTATTTGAGTAATTATTTCTTAGTACTTACAACTAAATATTACCTTATTTGTATTTTATTGCTTATTGTGCATAACAGTTGTACGGTATGATTGATAATACAAGTTTTGTATATAGACCATATTAGTTTAACATGAGGAATAATTGCTGTGTCTCTACAACTCAAAACACCATTGACTCACAAACAAAACGTTTATTTCTTGTGACTTTTTGGCATGTACTTACATTTATACAACTTTCCTTCCAGCTGGTATGTGGGTTTTTAAATAAGAGTGGTGCTCAGTATACATCTGAAATTCAACTTAAAAAACCCAAACAATTTCATTAAATCTCTATTTAAACATATCCTAAGATAAATTAACAATCTGTAAAATTTAAGAGTCAGAAATTAGAGAAACATTCACTCATAAACCACCATAGGAACCATTTCTCATGTGGTGCATTTGGAGAAACTACTGGCATTGAGGTAAAATGTGTTAAACTAATTATGGCCAACTTGACTACTCCAAAAGTACAACAGTGTAATATACCTTCAGGCAGCCTGATTTCACCACAGCAACTGTAAGTTCAAACCATTTTGAATGTTTAAATGGTTGAAGCATCATTGCCTGGTGTGTGAAAGGAGGATCACCTGTATTTTGGTGAAGACGTAGAAGTTATTTTGACTTGTAGTGTATCATCAGCAGGCCCACAGTAAGTCCAGGAACTTATTGCAGTAAGAGAATTAAATAAAGTGTGCATTGTTTCCAATCTCCGTCCCAAGTAGTATGTGCCAAGTCAATGTGTTTCTGTCTGATCAAACTTACAACAGTACAAAAGGATGCAGATTAATCTCCTCAGCCCAATACTACATTTGAGGTTTGAAGCCACTCTCCCTGACAGGAGGGCTGCAGTGTTGGTGATAAGGAGCCATTTTGACCTTGTGATGCAGTCACATCTACCTGTACAGGTATGTTTGGCAGAGGCATTGTGCAGGAAACATCATTCCCACTATGAGTCTGCAGTTCATCTTCACAGCTGGCCTCCAACACATAAGAGCACTTCTCTGTGTGGAAGATTTGCATTGATTTTCATAATTATAAATTCATTCAGCTACTCAGAGTTTACGAGTTTGGTTGTTTTTTTCATCCCTCTCCCATCCCACACGGGAATCCTCATGAGCAGTAAACCTACAGCTGCAAGAGCGAGGACCACTCCCACACTTGGGGGACCACAAGGGCTGAACTCCTGAGCCAGACCAGAGAGGAGAGGGGCCAGGATTCGACCAATGGCTGTGACAGACTGCCCGGCTCCGATCAGAGTCCCACTGGCTTGGACACCTCCTCTCTGCAGCTCCAGGTCTGTGATACATGTCCGTCCAATAGTGGTAGAAATGGCGAAGAAGGTGGAGGTAAGTAGCACCTGCCACACACTGGGCGCAGCGGCGTACAGGAATATGAGTGAGCAGGTGAGAACTGTGGAGTGAAGCAGCAGAGCAGGCATGTTGTTCCCATACAGCTGGGTGACTGGTCCCACCAGAAACCCAGCCAGGGCCCCTAAGGTGCTGCTATAGCTGATCAGATAACCTGTCACCTTTGGTTTAAGTGAGAAACGCTCCTCCAACGCCAGGGAGAAGTTACTGTAGTAAAGCATGATAGCTATGGCCATCAGAAGACGCACCAGAAAGAGGTCCCACATGTCAGAGGAGGCCACCATATGGATCTTTGACACCACTGAGGAAAGCTGTCTCCAAGCTGGCTGGAGCAGAGACAACTCCCACCACCTGAGACCACCACTGTACTTACTTGAAGCTCTGGAACCTGAGCCAGTCTCTGCCGCCAACAGTGGGTGGTGACTATTTGCATGACAGCCATTGTGAGCCGACTTACTGCAGTTGCTGTCATGACAACCTTTACTTGGGTTGTTGCTGGAGTTAGTTTCATTACGGCGAATTAGCGTCTCGCTCCAAGGTAGCATCCATACTAGCCCTGGAATGATAAACACATAGTGTTTCAAATACAGGCTCTATATAAGGTTCAGTGTGTAAGTTTTAGTGGCATCTAGTGGCGAGGATTGTGAATTGCAACGAGTGGCTCACGGTGCAGTCACGTGATTCTCGGATGGTCCTATTTCCCCAAGTTGTGGAGTTGTTCTTCTGACTTCAGTGTGTGTTCATGTGCTCTTAAGTTGGAATGTGGTATCAACATGGACGCTACTACAAACATGTGTTGGATTAGCATTATCAGAGCATATAAACAACCCACAGACATCTAGTTCACTCCACATGGACAGGAAACTAACTGTTATAACCATATTACAAATGACATATTTGCAAAATATGTATATGCAATATGTGATTTTGTACGAATCAAAATTTTTCTTTATGCCCCATGTACACTTTATTTTTCTTTTTGCAATAAAGATATAAGGAAAAAATAATGATTCTGATTATTCCGACAACACATTAATGCACCGCTCACCCCTCCCTTTCCAAGAGCGTAGGAGAAGCTATGGTGGCCGACATGTTGGCTCTTGTGCGAAATAATATGTGTGGTCCTCCATTTGTCCAAATTTCTCTTCCTTTCTTACTTCTAATAAACCAGGTGACTACTACTAACGTTACTTGTTCTTCTTCGTACGTATTTCTGAAAAGCTGTTTGTCCGTTAGGGCTACTATAGAAACATGGCGGAACAACATGGTGACGTCCATGTAAGAGGACCCGCAGTGTATATACACAGAAATGGTTCATTCTAAGGTAATAAAAACATAATGGTTTAATTATGTAAGGTCTTTATGCACCACTGACAAGTTATGTATATTATATTGCATTTCTGTTAGTAGATCCTCCTAAATATTACACACTGGATCTTTAAATCAGTTACTTCTCTCTATTTTCTACCCACCTGCATTAACAAGAAAGATGGCCGCACAGGTAAAGGAGGAGGTATAAAAGCCGCCTTCATGCTCTGTGAGGTAGCCTCCCACCACAGGACCCAGGATGAAGCCAACACTGGAGGCTGCATTGAAATGTCCCATCACCAGAGGGCGCTCTGAGTCAGACACTAGGTCAGACAGCAGGGCTCTGCAGATGGACAGGGAGTGCTTGAACAGCCCTGAGACAGAAAACAGTCAACGCACAGTGAGACTACGCCGGGAATCCACTGACTCCGGCTACGGCACGTTTACGGCTGCGCCACGGTTTTGATGCGTCCATAGCCTGGTGTCAAAGTCCACTGGAAGCGTCTCAGAAGCGTTTCAGCTGCGGAGCGTGCAGCCTGCCCCACGTTATTGACTCGTTGACGTTATTAATTTGTCCTTTTCGTGCTTCTACTACCTTCTTCACAGCTATTTGGTAACCAGTGTTTGCATTTTGTGCTTATACTATGATTAAGTAGGCTATGTAGTTAAATTATTTTCTGTGTGTCTGTTTTAACCAGGTGTATTGTTGTTTTACGATCGGGAGCATAGACAGTTTATTAGGGCCTACTGGTTTGAATGGAGAGCAGTGAAGCCAGTTTTGGACCAATAAAATACTACTACAGGGCTACATCCTGTTGGCATCAGCGTCTACTGCGCATGACCGCGCAGAATAACCGTGGTTTAATGACGTAGAGCAACGGCAGAAACACCGTAATTCTGGTTCTGGTTCTGTGTCTGACTTCCTGCCTGGTTCGATCTGCTCTGTGCTGCTTGACACGGCTAGCAGAAAAAATAGACCTGCTACCTTTTCTCTGCGGTGCGGAGAGACGCTTCTGGGACGCACTGCGGCCGCATGTGGTGGACACACGAGCAATGACTGTAATGGCCGCGATTAGCTCTGGCAACCGCGGCGCAGCCGTAAAGCGCCGGAGTCAGTGGATTTTAGGGTTAAGAAGCTGACTGTTCTTGCCTTTAAGATAAAGGTGGTGGCTTTGACATAGTTAAATTACATTTCACCCAAGAGCAAAAAGGACCTGCCTGTAATGTTAGCAGTTTTTAATTATACAACTTGAATGAGAAGTTAACCCCAAAGGGAAAATTAAGCAGGTAGCTATTTACCACCAGTATAACTTTATTTAACCAGGAGAAGTGACTTTTAGTAAAAGTCCTTTTTGAGTTCATAAGATCATCAAACAAATAATTAATAGACAACTGTCCAGTTTCAGCTTTCCCCAAATTACTGAATTTGAACATTTGTCTATTTTTTACAGCTCAAAATACATCGAACAAAGCATGGCCAATGAAGAAATTATGTGAGATAATGGGGTAATGATTTAAGACAAGTAGGCAACAGGTGTTGCTTATAACATTAACAATGGCTTTGTTCTATTCAAGTTTCTCAGTAAGTCATGACAATGTGACTGTGAGTGATTTTCCTACTGTGTCTTCTGTGAAAAGGGCCTACAGTTTGGGACCTACCCACAGGTATCCGTGCAAGGACAAACAAAGCGATGCTGGTGGACATCCCAAGCAGGCCGTAGCCTAGAGCACTCAGCAGCAGACAAGTCAGCAGAGAGTACCGCCGTCCCACCACATCACTCCAGCTGCCCTGCCGATCACACACAGGAAATGAAACACAACCACAAACCAAAGTTTCCATTCTCTGAAAAGAGATTATGGATTTTTGTACAGTCCTGTGAAACATCTGGACAGGTGGAGTTGAGGCCTAAATTTTGTTTGTGAACTGTTCACTGATCTGGGATTATTGACAAATCCCAACAAATGGAGATGAAGAGAGAAAAGTATCTTGTGGATGGAGAAACTTAAATGAAGCAGAAACCCTGTGTTTCCTCTCAAACAAGCAGCGCAGACCATTACACAAGACTTTATTAGATTCTCACCCTGCCTCTCTCCTTCTCCTCTGTCTCACACACACACACACACACACACACACACACACACACACACACACACCATCTGATGAAATAATGTAATTAGGACCAATTGAGTTTGCTGTGTTCTGGATGTAGCCTGGTGGGATTATCACAGAGACCCAGCTGTTCTCGTTTCCCTACGTTTATCAGGATTCAGCCGGTCTGCACACAGGATCCAACAGTTGACTCCTTATCTCCCTCCTAATTTGTCGCATGACCCATGAGAATTAAACCAATTTCAGGAGCTGTGGGCGGCAAGAGAGAGACGTGGAAAGCTGAGAATCTTGTGCTCATGTTCATTTTACAGGACTGAAGATAGAGGACTTCTTAACAGTTTGGACACAGTTTTAATCACCAAGGGTTTGATCTTTTCATCATACCATCTATAGGTTGGTTCACTGATAAAACATCACCTCAGTGTCCAGTCAGGGGGTGTCAAAGGGTACAAAATGTATTTCTGTGTAAAAAGAGTCATTTATGTGTCTGCAGCTAACTAGGAGTAGCTTGTGTGTGTGAATGTGCAGAGACTGGGTGTATTGTGCGACCACAATCAAACCTAAAACAGGCCAGTGTTTATTGTTTTCATGAAATGCCGGAGATGACATGGAATGCGACCATTTCGGCCACTAACTATGAGCATGTCTTGTCAAGCAGGAGAGTCTGAATAGAGTTTAGAGAGAAAGAAGGTTTTTCAGAGAGAAACAAAGTCAATACTTACAACTATTGTGCTTGAGAAGAGCTGTAAGATCCCATATGTAGCTCCTGCAACAGTTTCAAATTTGTTTTAATCCATATTTGTAACACAAAGCACTAAGCAGTCACAGTGGGTGTTCAGATTCACTGAGTCGAATGTGATCATGCTAAGATGATACAGATTATTTCATTCAGATGTTGACATACCAATAAGACATCATCCAAGTGATGTGCAACAAAAAATATTACAGCACAGAAAAATTTTAAAAGTATTGCTTATTAGATGCAGACAGATACAGTAAATCAAACCTAACTAAAACTTGGTGCACATTTATTATATATTTAAGGCTGCTATAGATTTTTTTTTCTCATCATTTTAATCTCTCCATCATTTTCCAACTAATTTATTAATCATTTACTTTGTAAAATGACAAAATACACTTTCCTAGAGCCCAAATTAACATACTCAAATTGCTTGTTTGGTCCAACCAACAGTCCAACACTATGGTGGCCCTAAGAGTTCAACACACTGCAGCTTAAAAAAAGCACATGCTAATGGTAAAACACCACCAGCTGCAGAGGAAAGTTCTGTTTTGTTCTGTCCAACTTGCAGAGTTTCTGTGTTTGGTTGTATTTCCTGTATTTGATTTACTAATTGATTCATGAACGTATTGTTACAGAACGAATATTCACTGTTGGAAACATTATGACAATGTATGATGCTTTGTTATTACATATTATCATTCTGGGACAACAGATGCAAATTAGCTGCTAGCTAAATCTGGTGCAATTAATTTAACTGTGCGCCATCCCTGCCAAAAATAAACAGTAAATTAAATTATCTTCAAAAAACAAAAGACTTAATAAAACTTTCTTTTTTTTGCCTCTCTGCCTGTTACGTTCGGCAGATAATTATTCATTAGTCATTTAGTTATAAGACTTTTCAGAGCTTGTCAGCTTGCTGCCTCATTATGCATGCACTCTAAAGGCAGACATTAGAGTACATCCGCTACGAAGGTAACTTAAAGAGTTGACTCTGTGCAATGGACACAACTTACCTACAATACCAGCCACAGTGGGACTTGCTCCGAGAGCTTTCACATGATGGCTCAGCAGCGGGATGATCATGCTCACCCCAAACAAGTCCTAAACAGAAAAGTGAAGGACAAAGAAGGAGGAGCAGGAATGAGGCAAGAGGAAGTATCATGAATGAAACCTCTCAACTGAAGAAAACCTATAAATCAAACAGGTCAAGCCAGTGTTCGGTATTAAACACATAGTTGCAGCAGCCGCAGAATGACGTCCCTCGTCATCCTGTTTATCTGTACTGCTGAGATCAGGGCAGCTCATGCCAAACTCTTGATTGAAGTCACACAGCAGTTCATACAGTGTTCTTACAGTACTCATTACACTAACTGCTTAACTTTCAGAAGCATTACTGTCCCCAGGGGCTTCCAGAGTTGCCTGGATTATTTTAGTCACCTTTAATTAGATGATTATTTAAGTTATGAAGGCAGACATGAAAAGTTAGTCCTCTGAAGTAGGAGGTCAGCTCTTAAAACAACATGGGTATTTGGATTCTTAGCATCTTTACAATATCATAGACTTGTTTGTATATTAACTATGCTATAACTTCTAGCACAGGGTCTTTAAATTCAATTAAACACCAGCCCACTTTGCAACACATTTTACTGACAGTGACTTATAAATGCGACCCTCAATACACTCAAGATGTGTCAAAACAACCTGCAGTTCTGTAACGTATCCCTTATTTAGTAGCCACACACCTTATTTAGGGAGAAATATATTTAAAAATACCTACCCATGTATTTGTATGTATAGATAACAATCTGCTTTTATTTTGAGTTGCCAGAAAGTATTTTACTTGCAGATACATATGAGCTATCTTTAAGAAGAAAACTATTCTCTCTTTGCTGCTCACTACACTTTGCTGTGTTTATAGTGGTTTTATGCTTGGTTTTTAAAAATATACATATATTAAATTATTCTGTATAATACATAAAATCCCTAATTTATATGATCAGAAATGTTTTATAAAATGTTACAAACCATGCTTGAAGGTTTAATATATCTATGCAGGCACAGTAAGTATGACAGGTTAGTGTTTTAAGGGTCAGTGCACAAGTAAGATTTAGGTTAAAGGTAATATAGGGTACTTTGCTGCTTAAGACATAAATCAATTCTGAGAAAAGATTTAATAGAACTTAAGACCTGCTTTTAATCACCTGCAAACACCATAAAGATACCTTTGTAAATATTTGTTTAGTTTGAACATGTAGCAAAGATTTGCATTTCTTTACACCATCCCTTTGACAGTTCATTCTGATGAAACCTGTACAGTCAAGTCTCAGTTAGCTACTCACCATGAAGCCCACCACATAGATACATTGTATAATCGTCGTCTGTCCTCTTGGTCTCTGAAATAAAGTGCTACATTTCTGGTTGTTCATCCTCCCGCTGTGACAGGACGGCTGCAGCCAAGGCGGAAGCGCTCATCCGCTCGACTATAAATTATTCAAACAAAATGTATATGTCCCGGCGGAGGTCTCACGGGCAGGGTGGCGGCAAACTGCTCGGTTTCAAACGTCTACACAAACATGGTATGTGTAAAAGGTGGCGGATATATAAAACAAGCGTAGACTATGCGTCCTGCGATGACGTTGACTGTTTGAGTTGTGGCTGGTTTCTCAGGTCTTGAAATGCCGTGTTGTCTAGTACGACTCCCCCGCGGCTGCACTGACAGTTGGTATTGTCCATGACGTCATTGACCTAATTCAGGAAATTCTTATTTAAAAAAAAATATGTATGCTGTTTCATTGCTAATACTTCTCCACTAATAAAGAGAAAAGAAATCATAAAAAATGTTAATAAAAAAATCATAAAGGCTTTAAAACATATATATTTATCATAAATGGGACAAAAGCATGTCATTTTATCTCCAATTTATAAATCATTTTTTACTTTTCACGTTTCAGTTTACATGACAGGATTGCACAATGAAATGCCCGTGTAGCCCCCCACCCCCCGATACACACGCAGAAAATACATAGACAAATGTTTAAATATTTTAAATTAGAACAGACTAAACAATAAAATAGGCAATAAAGAGAACAAAGCACATAAAAGTAACACTAAAATATAAAATATAAAGGAAAACTAATTGTATTTACAAGGAAGATAGTCTTTTTTTATAGACATTTTTTTAAAGTATGTGCAATATTAAAATGTAATATTATACTGAAATAACGTTTTAGTATTTATTTGACTTAAATGTTATTATTATTAGTCTAATTTGTTTTGTTTTGTTTATAGATATTTGCATATAAAGTTGAATGCCGGTGCATAACCAGCACCAGCACTTATTCTTGAATACGGTAATGTACTATTGTTGTTTGAAAAATAAACAAACAAAAAAAATAACTGTTTTCATCCTATGGTTAAAGTGCTTAGCTGTGATTTGTTCTCATTAATTAATTCATCACTATTATAAAAGCCACTCATTACTAATATAGTTTACAAGTTGATATTCATAGACTAATAAAATCAAATCTTATTTAGTTTTCAACTGTAACGTTCAGGCTGACTGAGATTGCAGTTACTTTTTCGCCATCTACTGGACAAACAGGGGCATTAATGAGGAGTTTACATAGCCCATATTTCTGTTTTACAGCAAAAATACTGTGACACATTCAAGCTTACAGTATAAAATATTAATATGTTCTTGCAGTACTTCAGTGTAATTTATACAGCATTTAAACAGTACTACAATCACCACCACTACTACTCCAGCCTACAGTGATTACAATACAATATTTGAGTATTTACTATATGATGAAATGCAACAGGCGTACAGTTAAAACTACAGTAAACTGCAATTGTAGGCTGCAATAGCGGGGTGGTGATTGCGCAGTGGATAAGACACATGCCTTTGGTGTGAGAGACTCGGGTCTGAATCCACTGTGCGACACCAATGTGTCCCTGAGTAAGATGAATTAACCCCTAGTTGCTCCAGAGGTGTGTGACCTCTGACATATATAGCAATTGTAAATCCCTTTGGATAAAATCATAAGCTAAATGTAATTAATACAGAAAACATGAAATTCACCTTATTGCAAATATGCAATGATTTAGGAAATTACTATTGTCTTAGAACTATATTATCTATATTAACTATATTAATTCCTGAACATGCAGTAAGACTAAAATAAAATAAGTAGCTTTAGCTATGATCCAATTTCTTTTAAAGGGTAGTTACTTCATGAGCTGATAACAGTTCCTCAGCAATCCTTATCACTCAAACATGTTCATTTACCACCTTGAATGGTGCTGAAAAATTTAATCTTGGGCAATGTACCCATGGCTGTGAGGAAGTCTGCTATACCCTAATAATATTTATTTTGTCCCAAATACATCAACTAAAAACTTATATGTCATTGTTAGTACCATTATGTTGCATATTCAATGAAGAACTCAACAGCATTAAATCTGTTGTTTTACATTACATAATATATCCTTTAAGGCAAAATAAATCCAATCAGTCTGAGAAACACATTAAATTAAAATGACTAGTGGTAAGTGGAAAATATTACTCATTACCCTCCAAAAGCTATCAAAAAGTAACCGATCAGATGTTCTTTATTTCATTTTCAGACAACACATAAGTGTTGGGCGTGGGGACATCTTATTGACATAATTAATAATAAACTGGACTAGACGGACAACACTGAGGCACTCTACAGGAAAGGACAGAGCAGGCTGTTCTTCCTGAGGAGGAAGCACCAGGCTGCTACGGATGTTCCACCAGTCTCTAGTGGCCAGTGGCATCTTCTTTGCTGTGGTGTGCTGGGAAGGTGGCATCGGGATTTGTGGCACAACAAACTGGGCGAGCTGGTGAAGAAAGCCAACTTGGTGGTGGGGATGAAGCTTGACAGTGTGGAGGCAGAGCCTGAGAGGAGGATGAGAGGCAAGCTGAAAGCCATTATGGACAACCCCTCTCATCCTCTCTATGCTAAGCTGAGGCAGAGGCCCCCTCCTCTAAGCACCTATAGGAGGCTCATTTGTGCCATCTGCCATCAGACTCAACAACGCCACAGCACCCAACGTCTGCCATCTCCACTCACAGACTCATTTTTGATTTGGACATAATGTGTAGGCTAATTATTTTATACATTTGATCCTTTTTTTGATCCTCCCTCCTTTTTGATCCTCCCTCCTTTTTTTATTGCACTGTGTTGATTACCTTTTCTAATTTATTTTACTTTGTTCCTAGCACTACATTCCCCTGTGCTGCTGTGCCAATTTGAATCTTATCTTAGTGCATTCCCTTGCCCCTTACCTAGTTATAACCATCACAAATTCATGCCTACCCTTAACCCTTACACTAACCTTAACCTGAATCCTTAACCCTCAAAAAGCAGTTTCTACTCATGGGGATCCCATTTTTTGAGTGTGCATTCAGGCCCCACTGGAATGTAAGAACATGAAACACACACACAAACAAATAAACACACACACACACACACACTATAGAGCAGTAAATGTGGGTGGAGTGCTTCTGGCTGAGGGTGGTCCTATGGGGTGGTCACATCACTGTGTAAATTTGACAGTGTCTATATGTAGGTTCACCGCCAAATATGCCCCTTAGATGCTAAGAAAACAGTGGTTCCCCTAAACTCACACTGACAAAATCAGATTTTAAATCTGTATGTTTTAGGTTATAGGCTACTTACAACATTTATTTATGGAAGACTAAATAAATAACTTGACACATATCAAGTAACAAAACTGCTATTTATGTGGCACTCAGATGACAATTATCTCTGTGATCTTGGTGTGTGACACAGTTGAAAATCCCCAAGAAGTAAAGTTGGATTTACAGTCATTTTCATCACCCGCATTGAAAGGAAATCATACTGGTGTGTGTGTTTGTGTGTGTTGTGCTGGTGTGGCAGAAGCTTTGGGCGGGGTGTTGTGGGACTACTTTGCTCCTCTTCTGTCCTTTCAGTCTCACCCTGCTCTGACATTCCCGTGCTGATAGTGGGTGTCCAGTTGCCACCGGTTATTTCTGTGTTGATCCCCTCCCTTCACACTCTCCAACTGCTTCACACACTCAGCCCCACAGCGGAGCGGAGCAGCAGCATTCAATCAGACCACAAAAATAGCTCAGGGGGTGGTGGGTGGGTTTTGCAGGAGACCCCAGGATCTGAAGGAGTCATGTGCCCAACCTTGTCCTCCCATAACACAGACAGAGGGACATGAGAGGAGTAAATAAACTAGCCGGGGCTTAATTTACTCAGTGGATGTACTACAGAGCAAGAGTGACTCTTCTTGTCACATGCACTCTCTTTAATTGGAGGGGAAAGTCAGACTTCTAGTGTGGGCTGAGTGGCTGGTCATTCTTGGACCATGAAGCTTAGTGTCGCATTGTTTTTTGCTGGGCTCTTTGGGGCTTTGGCAGCTGTGTTCATCCTCCTCTCGTTTGGAACGGATTACTGGCTGCTGGCCTCAGAGACCTGCCCAACAAAACCTGTCGGATCTGTTGTTCTGGGTGATGTGACTGTAGAGGTGGGTTAGTTAACATTTGCCATGTCTGAGTTGAATATTAGTTATAATGTATTTTAGGGTAACTCGTGGAACTAAAGTTAGGTCAGTTCTTGACGTTGGGCTAGAGACAAGATTATTTCTTATAGTATTTAAACTTTAAATGGTGTATTGTGGTGTTGCACTCATACCTTCATAATGAAATATGTCTTATGGTGGACATTTGAACTAGAATCAAAGTCACTTTTTCTATTTTGGAAACTGTGATCAGTTGCTCCAATCATTCTTTCAGTAGATGAACTGTAGAGTGGAGAGGCATCCCTGCAGGACCTCTCCACGTGTAATCAGACACTGTTTAATGTGGTGTGTGTGCAGCTATGCAGTGATTGAGACACAGCTTGTACCATGCGCCCCTATCATAGAAATACAAATACCAGTAGTCCCAGTGGTATGAGAGTGTATCAAATATCACCGACGAGAACATACCTAGTTTTTCATAGTGGGCACTGATACTGTAATTGAGACATGATATCACCACAATAAAACCAAAGTGGTAGCATGCAGAGGATTAAATGTGAAAAGGTGCAGCATCCAATAAGAATACAGTTGTTTTAATTCTTTAATAGACAGTTTAGTAGGATTGTTCACATTGTATAGCACCACTTCTTTACTTTTATGGCTTGTGTAATTGTATTCCCTTCCCTAATTATTTGTTAATATTTTTCAAGGCGTAAAATGCTAAAGCCACTGTCCGATAGCATTGATAGGAGAACAAACCAAAACAAACTAACAGTGTAATTTTTCAACAAGGTCTTAAAAGGCTGATTTAAAGGCTGACTTTATGAAACTTGAAGTTTCAACACAGCCTTCAGCTTCTGCTTTCATTTCTATGAGGGCTATTTTATGAATGATGTAACAGAGAGTTTAGGATGTGGGCTTTTTTTTGCTCACGAGCAAAAATAGCATGAGTGTTTCCTGAGTGGGTACACCCTTGACCTGCACGCTTGCTTGGCACCAAACCAAATCTGTATGATAGGTGTTTGTTAGACCTGCTTGGTCAGCTCAACCCTTGACCTGACTTAGCAGCTGCTCTGTGCCACTGTGGCAACACACTGTACACCTGCCTCACATGACCTAGAGACTGCTCTCAGGCTTTAATTACATCTATAATAAAATTCTAATTCAAATCAGCTTTGTTGGTATGAATGTAAAACAACAATATTGCTAAAGCTGCAAATAAATTACATATTCCTTCTCTCAGCGTGGCGATGTGGTGATGCAGGATGGCACCGGTAAAATCACTCTATACCATGAGGGTTTTTTCTGGAGGTGTAAGTTCGGAGGTGACTTGGGTGATGACAACCTGCTGTGGAAGCTCTGGTTCAGTAAGTAAGACAGACACATGACTGCTTTATATTTACAAATGATGAGAATGATTTCAAAATAAACACATTTCTTTAAATGTTTTGGTTCTCTTTGTCTGACCTGGTTAAAACCCTATATGGAGAAAAGTACTGAAGTGGTAACATTTTCCTTTGCTACAAACTGAGCTTACACATTTGATTAATGCAACAAAGCATGAAAAAGACCATAAATTATTGTTGTTACACCAAATAAGGAAACATTTTATGTTTTTTAAGTTATATGGGCTATGCAGGAACAAATATTTATTCCTTTTTTTTTCAACACCAATCACCATCAGATATAGAGCAGATAAACAGCCACTGTATTTAATCTTCTTTTTTTCGCAGCTAATGCATCATCAGTGTAAAATCATGTTCATAAGTGATTTTCAAAAATAAAGAAAAGTCAGCAAGTATGAAGATGGTAAAACATATTTTTTGATTTGCTAAAAAAGGCCCACAGCCCACGGCCTCCATTAGGAGCAGAACATTTGGGTTAAACTGTTGCTCTGAAGAATCTTTTAAGATACAAATAAAAAGGAAGAATTGTCTCTTAAAGGGCCCAGTTCTCGGTCTTCTAAAGCTGATGACAGAAAACCATTCTCCTTCACTGTCACATGGCAGCACTACACATGCTGCAGAATTAATATCCTTGTTATTATGTCTATAAATCTCATATATAACGCCACAGTGGTAGAAAAGCATGTGATGTTATTCTGGCCGTTTGTCAGGTGATTGTGCATCATCTATTTTCTGAGGACTTTGAATGGTGGGTAATTGTCAGAAACAGCCTCCAGCACTGTAAGGACCTTGTGAGGGTCTGTGGAATTTCACATGGTGGAAGAGAAGAGTAGGAAAGGATATAAAAACAAGAGAGAAAATGAGTGGATTAATCACAATTTTTGTCACTCTGCTGTCAAATTTAGTTATATCCCAGTGCATGAAAGACTTGTAACAAAGTACAAAGGAACTATGGTTGAAGCCTGCAACTGACAAAACAAATACCTTTGAAGTGTTAAAGTTAGAACTGAAATGTGAACCATCAGTGTGTTAAGAACAGAATCTTTGCTTTTTTTGTAATATTTGATGCATATCTTTCTTGTATGAAAATTGAAGATGCTGTGTTATGCAGTTTGCTAAAAAGTGATGTCATCTAATTGCCAATTTACTTGTAAGACTACATTTTCATTAATTATTGGTGATGATATTTTCTTTCTCTTCAGCAAATCAGCCTCACTCAAAAGTGTGCACACCCGCCTACCTCTTCCCTTTCCCCGTGTCTCATCAGACCCATAATGTCACAGAGTATGATTCTGCCATAAGTAAGTGTCTCTATTTATTTAGATTTGCCTCTTTGTACAGATTGGCTTTATATTCTTCAGTGAGCTGATGGCTGTATATACAATTGGTTAACATGTCTGTTGTCCAGTCTACAGAAGCTTCTGGAGCATCTTTATGCTCATTGGTGTGGCAGCTGTTGTGCTTGGTGGGTTCATCATCATCTGTGCTGCTCCGTTTGCCAGCCATCGCTTGTATAAAGCAGGGGGCGGCCTCTTCCTGGCATCTGGTGAGGCTTTGAAATGGTTAAATCCAGTGGTGGAAAGTAACATCTTGAAGCTCAAATACATACAATTATCCAATATTTCACAACAAATTAGAAAATGTTGTCCTTGAACTTGTTTTTCTTCTTTCTTTCTTCTCTCATTAATAATCTCATGACCCCACACATCTGTTGAGAACCTACAGGATTAAACTACCTAATTGTGTATAAAGCTGCTAAAACTACCAGCAACAGTACAAACCCATTGATGCAAGAGTATTAAAAACCTAATAATGTAATCTGTAACAATGCATCACTCATGGGTCATTTTTCTGCAGAATAAGTGGTTTTACTTTCTTTACTTTCATTGTATTTAGCTGATAATGCTCCAGTACTTTTACTTATAAATGCTTTTACATTGTTGTCTTGGTATTCTTATTTACTTCTCCCACCACTGGTTACATTTTAATTTCTATACCCTGTTTTGGATCCACTGGCTTACATAAAAAGTATGTGAGGGATTTTCAATCATCACAGTCTCATCGATTTGTCTCTGCTGCCCTTCTTTGCTCTAGGTCTTTTCCTGCTGTGTGTGGTGGTGATGTACGTACTGTGGCTGCAGGTGTTGGATGTGGTGGATGTCTACATAGACCACCAACGCTCTCTGTGTCCAGATTTCCAGCTGTCCCTCAACTATGGTCTGTCGTTCATGTTTGCACCCATTGGCATTTTCTTCTGCCTCCTGTCCGGCCTTCTTTTCCTCCTCATTGGCCGAACCATCCAGATTCACTACCACTGATTTTAACCAGCAGCAGGTTAGAGGAAGTGTAAGCCTTTAGATGTTTAAATTTATTATACCACTGGACCTTTGATATTTTCCCATTTTGTCTGCCATGCTGATTCTGTAGATACTATGTGGCAGCTCTGTGGTATAAATTATCTGATATCTGAGTTTTGAACACTTTGTTCCAGGAAAAAAAACATTTTAACCATTGTGATCTATGTCAAACACAGCTCTGTGCTATCAGGAGATAGTAGACTATTTGAGAATTTCTCAACACGCCTGATCACAAATACCTGTGGTACCTAATGCTGTTGTTTGAATTTTGCTAGTGTTGATGGCTGTGAGTGTTATAAGTTTATGTTCATGAAAATTACCAGCAATCATATATGGGAATGAGATAAAGAGGTTCCTTGGTTGAAAAAGTAATACAAAGATATATGTTGCTTTGTATAGTGTTTAAAAAAAAAACTTTATAAAAAGTGCACAGTGAAAGCTTATAAGGTGGCATGATTGCTGATGATCTTCTATTATGTATACAGTCATAGGAGTCAGTGTTTTTTGGAAAGAACACCTGGCCAGCTGACAGTTTAAAGGGCTAGGCTGATGATATTCTATATTTTTGTTATTATCAACATAACCAATGAAAACACCAAAACGAATTATTTCCAACTTCCTCACCTTGTATGCGGCACTAAGCTCCAAGCCCATTCATTTATACTCAAGTTCTAACCTTTAAAAATTAACCACAATATAAACTTTTATTTTAAAAAAGGGCTAAAAAAGTTCCTGAAACAGCTGAGCACTGCAGTTTTTAGCAAACGTTACTCAAACAGAAGTAAATAGAATATTTGTTGGGGAACTTTTTTTTAGCATAATGTGTATCGGCTCAGTATAAACTACATAATAAAGGAATATGTCACCCAGTGCAACAATATGGCTAAATGTTTAAATGGAGCTTACTACACCTAGTAATAAACTGGGTGAATTCATTGTTGGTTTTGGTCTTTTTCTTGACAATGAGAAGAATTTAATATATCATCAGATTCATCCTGTAACATAATCAAATATTTATATATGCTGAGTGTATTGTGCTCAGTTTTTCTGCAGTATTATTTCACTATATCTGTACATAGCCTGAAACTGTTCTGTCGTTGGGTCATATTTTATTCTGTTGAACCTATTAATTGTTTCAGCACAGTTTATTCTGTTCATAAGTGGAGCTTGAAGCACTTTTGGCATTTTATGTTGAGTTTATTTAACTGTTTATGTTGTTGAGTTTTTTGTTCTACACGATTTTAGGTTCTTCTATGAGTTGAGTGTGTTGTGAGATTCTGACATCATATCTGTCCAAATAAATGCCCCCCCTCGTGATCTGTCAGACAATAAAATGATGAGGTGAAGGCAAGCTTTGATGTCTAAATGTTAAAATGAATTATTTTGTCCTTGTAACAAAGAATTATGATAGGATTGGCGCTTGTGAATCCAGGCTTTTCAGAAGATAGTGTCAGGTGTGTGTAGCCAAAATCAGCAGTCCCATTTCAAAGTAAAGGTACCGGCACACTGAAAAAAAAGCAGAAGAGGCTCTTGAGCTGCAAAATGAATACATTAATTCCACATGCAAAAAAGTAAGTGACAAAAAACGTTTGTTTCAAAGGACCATCATCAGCACAAATATGTCAGACTAACAGCAATGACAAATCAGGAGAACACCTTTTGAAATTGGATTATATTGATTGTTGCTGGCATTTTCTATGAAATGAGATCATTGTAACAAAGTCTTGAAAAATACACTAAAATACCACAAGAGGACACTGTTGTCTCACTTGATATACACATTAACACGCACCCCTTTGCTTATCTAAAGTCTACCTGAAGTGTGTCTGGCTTTATGCATTTAATCACAACTTCAGAGGTAGGATCTGTAGATGAAAGAATTCACACCTTGGCTGACAGACGGATAGTAATTTCACCCATGAATGGAGCATTTGATCAGGATCTGAATGGACTCCTGAGCTGATTCTCATGTGTCTGTATCAACCTTGTGCCTTTCTAGCTTTATAATATACTTATCATACATAGGGAAATGCATCTGTAGTGTGCCTCAGAATGCAGAAGGGAGCGACACAATGTCAGGCATTGATTACTTTGTGAGATTGACTTTTCCTTTACAGAAGACACTTAGGATGGAGATTCACACTTCCAATTCCTCAAATTTCATATTGTTGTCCACACACTGAGGGAGAAACCGCATCAAACTTCAGCGCAGCCATATGAGAAGCTATGCCGAGGTAAATCACTGCAGATCACAAGAAGAGGCAACAGAGGTTGGCAGATGCTAATAAACTGTAAGATAGGATCTCCAGGATTTGTCCTGTTTCAGGTTGGAGTGGTCCTTTCAGCCAAGTCTCCCGTAGGAAAGAGATTTCTTATCTGGTGGACTTCCTGGTTTAAAGATAATAAAAAAAAAGTTTAATCATTTCTCTAGCCACATCCAAACGTGTGTGAGAGAGAGGGACAGAGAGAAAAAAAAGAGAGAGAGAGAGAGAGAGAGAGAGAGAGAGAGAGAGAGAGAGAGAGAGGTTTAATGCAGGTGTGGAGCAGGCTACCTTCAGAAGAAGCCGGGCCTTGCAGTCAGTAATGTCATCAGAGTCCCAGCTGAATTCAGCACTGTTCTGCATGATTGCCCATGATAATTGTGTGTTGATAGGGAGTGCCGGAGATGGAGTATAATTTCCACCGAGAGATTCCTAAACAAATACCTGTGCTCAGCAGAGGGATGGAGTGCAGCAGGAGGTGAGGAGGAGAATTGCGGATGAGGGGCGATAGAGGATGAGAGGGTAACACTTCCAGAGGAGGAGGAGGAGGAACAGGGACAGGAAGTAGTGGTCTCACTTCAGGTGCTTATAGTCTGTACATAATGCAGCCAAGGCAAAGCCACGCAAGGTACTGCACTTTAAAATAAGAACGGAAATCTTTTTAATAGAATGAAATAGAACAGAGTTCTAAGTTACACAGTATTTTATTCTAAAACAATAAAATAACAGAAATGACCAAATTTGTCAAAACAAAGAAGTTACAGAATCCTTCCAGAACTGTTTCAAGACACATGGAAACACCCTGCGTTTAACGTTTAATGAAAGTGTTTAAAAATGACATCTATTCCTTCTCCCTCTCCAGCAAATATTTTCTGTTTCAATTAATTACTGGACACAAGATGATACCCATTCTCAGTGCTTTTGCACTGGAGGTTTCAAGTTTCCACATCACGCTTGTGTAAGTTGCATATAGTACCACAATTGGCTTCTAGACCAGGGCATAATGTGTGATGACATATGACAAGTGAGCACAGAGAAAGTTTCCTCCCTCAGCATATGATCATGAAAATGTTTCTTTTAGTGTGAAACAGTGCACATACATCATCCTGCACTGTGAAAGTCAAACATCACAGTCAAGGAACAACAAGCAAAACACATTTTTGAGTGGAGGGGGACAGGGTGCAGAAAGAACACTCTTTAAAACTTTTTTTGCTAAGTCACATTTTTCTATGCAAATTAATTTTGTCAAAACTCTTCACAGGTTTCTCTTTAGCAGCGTGCAGCTCAGCACAACAGTTGCACTAATGCAACCAAAACTCTTCATACACATCTCAGGATCAACTCATGTACACAAATAATTAATGACAGCATTTCTCTGCTAGTTGTAACACTTTGTCGCTCATTATACAGTATATTGACCTTAAAAATCACTAACAACAGGTAGCATTATAATTAGCGTCACTATCTTCATTTATGTGGCATAAACCATGATTCCATTTAAAACAAAAATTAGGTCACTTCTTTATTGCATGGATTTTCTTTGTGCCATTTTTTGCAGAGTAATTCCATGTGCACAAAAAGAAACTAAAGTAATTCCAGTAATACAATACCAAACTATACATTGTTGCTACAGATATAGAAATAAAGTGCTGGTCAACACGTCATACACCTGGGAAAGAATCTTTTTGCATGTCTGATCCAACTGTGGCAAACAGATCTGTCCAGACATCCAGCATTCACTGTGTCCAAGAGGGACATCTAATCATGTGGCTGGTGGTGAATAACTTCCCACTTCCATGCGGAAAAGATTTCCTCTGTGGTGTTGAGGAATGGTGAGTAAGATGAGATTAAGTGACACCATTCTGGGATGGGCTGTAAACCACTCCTTGAAACGCCACATTGTCCCATACAGTTACAAAACCTTCTGGATTCTGTCTCCCTTACCTACGTTTCTCACCTGGCAAGTCTTTCATAGGTATCTTCGTGTAATGAAACTAGGAGCGCAGTGTCCCAGTTACGAGTTTATGGATTTACATTTTTTAAATTAGGTTTTAGTTATGCTAAGTTTTGAATGTAAATTTAGTGGTTTTGGCAATGGTATGTAAATATGTGCAGAACGGTGTTTAAATACACAGTTTTGGTGGTGGATGAGTCTGAGTGAGAAAACAGTTCATGACATTTGAAAGATGTGGTCGTTGCATAGATTTTGTGTAAAAGCAAATTAAAAATGACCCATGTTCCCGTCTGCTGTGCTGAGTGTGTGAAGAGTTTTGAAAAAGTGAACTCATATAGAGAAATGTGACTTGGCAATTGTAAAAAAACCGTTTACAAAAATGTGTTTTTATTACAGAAGTTAATAAGGAAACAAGATTAATTTCAACAGTGTTTGGGGCCCTGGAGGCACAGAGTTTCATTGAGGCTGAGTGTGGATACCTATATATGTATGTATGTGCAAAAGCTCATGAATGTGTGCCGGAACTATGTAAATATACGGTATGTGTACTGTATGTGATGCTTGTGTGAAGGGATCAGAAAACAAAGTCCACAGAGAGGAAGAGAGGCGATGCAGGACGCGCTGAAGTCTTTCATTCATCTGGTCTAGAAGAAGATGATAAGTTCGACTCTCAGTCAACACTTGTATATTTAACCTTGAGGGAGGTTTAAGTTAATTGGAAAACACTCTTTGCCTGAGTGCTCTCACCTCATGGCACAAAGTGTAGTTATCATAGCTTATCTTCCAAATGTATCATAATCCCGCATGACACTCAAGTCAGATTTCATTTAAATCTGATTACTTTCAACTCTCAGAAAAAGCAAAGTATTTGAATTGCATGAACAATATGGCAAGTCATATTACACGCTGCTTTCCTCTTTAGAGATAGTTTTACATAATTTCCCATTCGTTTTGAAATAATGAATAGACAATGGGCTGTATAATTGTGAGAATTTACAATTCAGAGGACTACGTCGTATAATCACCATGCATAATTCAGAGAGTTGAGCACATAGGTCACCGGTGGCGGTGGCACAAAAAGTAACTCAGGTCATCATACAAACAGTTGAAAATCAACACTTTTATTGGTGCTCAACTTCAAACATTAAACAAAATCTCTTTGATGAGGCAACATATTTCTTCAAGATCGCAAAGGAAATATGAAAAAAGTACAAGCAGAGCGTCCAATTATCTATGCACCTCGTATATTATCTTTTCTGTTTCAACGCAGTCTGTAAGTTCAGAGGAACTCACTGGTGTGTAAAGAGGCACTGGCAGTATAAAAACTGTTATTACATTGTTGGCCAGTGAAAGCTACACCTGTACTGAGTGGATCCTTTCTGCCCCTCTAACATCCTCTGGCCTCACACCTCAGATTGTGCATATAAATTACATTCCAAAGTGTGTATGGATAGCCCTTGTTCATACTCAAGGTCTCTTGTTTCAAAGGCATGCTAATGTCTTTCACAGTGAACTCCTCTCAGCAGCCCTCTTTTGACTGCCAGAGCAACTGTGTAGGAGATGAGTGGAACTCTTCAACTCTACTTTCCTCTTGAATATTCACACATTTTAATGGCACATATAGTATATCCTCAAATCCTAAACAAAGAGACAGATTTCATTAAATACTGGGTTACCCAAATGAGATTAGAGAGTTTCAGTTGATGTGTTTTTTTGCTTAAATTATTGTTGTAGGTGTCTGATAATTGTCAAATTAATTTGTAAAATCTTTCAGTACGTAAATCCCATGCTGTTTTAAAAGATCCATACTGTGTTAACACCCACTAGTCATGATTTTCTCACTTTTAATGGGATTTTCTCACTTTTAATGGGATTTTTGGGATCGCTGTGTTTCAGCAATGAGCACTGCAGCTCCTTATTTTGGTATAGCTTCCCCTCCAGCAATTAATTAAGGCTACAGTACAAACAGCCAATTGATTTGGTCATGAATATTCAAATATATCTCTTGCATATCATTGCTTATGCAGTGTTGTAACACAGGGCGTTGGTGAGGCGGGCATCATTGCTACAAAGCCAGTTCAGGTTTCTGTGCTGTATACCTATCTGTCCCCATCTTAACAGTGAGTCAGTCCCCATCGTTATTTGACAAAGTGAGAATTAACAATTTTTTAAAATGTTTACATTACTTTTGTATTATTTCAGTATAAACTGATTGTCCACTTTATTAGGTACACTTGTACAATTTCATGCAATCTAATACAGCTGTAAAGTCTACTTTAATGTTCAGTGTTGTTGCCACTGTCACAAAAGTATTAATTCCATCACATGTTTTAGCACTCTATTCTGATGCATTTCAAATATTCTGACCCCCTCACAGAGAGGACAAAAAAATCATAAACACCTCTGAACATAATGTAGTTCAGTCATACACCACTTTAACAATGATAATAATAATATATAAATGAATTTACATTTCATTCAAC